ATGTGGTAGCCGTTTCTCAGGCTCCCTCTCCGGAATCGAACCCTTATTCCCCGTTACCCGTGAAAACCATGGTAGGCCACTATCCTACCATCGAAAGTTGATAGGGCAGAAATTTGAATGAACCAGCTCCAGCACAAGGCCATGAGCTTCGAAAAGTTATTATGAATCATCAAAAAGCCCGAAGGCATTGATTTTTTATCTAATAAATACACCCCTTCCAGAAGTCGGGGCTTTAAGCATGTATTAGCTCTAGAATTACCACGGTTATCCATGTAGTAAAGGAACTATCAAATAAACGATAACTGATTTAATGAGCCATTCGCAGTTTCACTGTATAAATTGCTTATACTTAGACATGCATGGCTTAATCTTTGAGACAAGCATATGACTACTGGCAGGATCAACCAGATAACTATCTGATGTTAGGCCGAAACCTAAGCGCTTCCCGCTAAACAGCCCGAGAGCTGTCCAGCAGACAAAGCAGCAGATATTATTATCAGTTCGCAATCAAGATTCCAAGAGAAATCTCAATCGGCAGAAGCCCACCGCGCCGGCCGTTTTACTGGCCCTCGCAGAGACTAACTGCATCCATATAGCCCTCTTTGAGTTCTCCCGAATAATTTCCGCAAAATCATTTTGGCAGCTGATAACGCTACCAAAAGTTTTTACATCATTATCCTGGAAGGAAGTTACAAGCAGAAACATCACGTAGTAAAAAAAAACTACGGCTATGCTTCGCTGCAGACTCCCAAATTCGTCTTTAGTAGAATTCTTGCCATAGGCTAGTAATCCACTAAATCCATCAGTGCTCACACACAAAAATAATTAGAAATTTGGTATGAGACTGTTCAGGCTACTCAGGCCATCAAAAAGTTTTTTTTTGACCGCCCAAGATCACCCATGTTGAATTAGCCTTGAGAGAAAGTGTATCTGACGATAACAACTTTACTCTCTCCACTAATCAACGAGGCCTTGAAGAGTTCTTTTCAGAACTCCCTTTCGAAGATCGAACCCCAAACGCGCAGAAGCTTTCGCTTCTTCACATTCAGTTTTCAAATCTTCTTTTATGCTTTCGCATGAAAGTCCATCCGCATCTCTCACGTATAATTTCCTCTCCAATATAATTTATTCCAAAATTTCCATAGTTATGCATTTACTTTTTTTCGCAACTCTCTCCAGCTTTTTATATTTTTCATTTCGATTCTAATTCTATACCATCTCCAAATATTATTCCCCCGACGTATTTCTTTGTACCACGAAATTTTTACTTCGTGCCTAGATTAATTATAATTTCTCTACATAAAATCTGGTAGCGCTCGTCGACTTCCATATGCAGACTATGCAACCTAGAGTTTTCAAGGTAAAAGATAATTCAATGAAGGCCAGAAGTTCCAGCTAACAACAAGATGTTCATTTTTGAGGATTCAGAATACTTCCTCCAGCCAAGGATCAAACCAGTTTAGACATTCATTAGCATCAATTTCGTTGTCTAGCATGCTGGATGATTTAATTCCCGACAAGCTACCAGTTGGGGAGCTGGCAATGATTTGATCACTAGGTCCTCGCCCAACATGATCAAACTCTAAGAACCGATGTTGGTTCACAGTACTTGGGCCGTGATCAATTCCAATTTGGGCCAAAGAATTGGCTGTTTTTTGCATTCTCAAAAAACACATGTGGTTCAGAGTTTTGATCGCCCACACACATTCTGTAGACATTGATGCTTTTCCTTTGACCGCATTGAGCAAGCTGATTGCTCTCCTGAAAGTGTCCGCAAATTCCTCGGTTTCAATACCTGAGTATATTAAAATGACACTTATTAGGGAGATATTGAACATAAGAGACAAATTCATCCACCATGGGACTTCCAGTTCTGCCCTGCTCCTCATGTTTTCAAAGATATCAAGCGTCTGTTGGCTCTGATCTTTAAGAAGAAAAGCATCGGAGTAGCACCACTCGACGCAGGAATGGCAGTCAATTAATCCTAGGAGTTGCTTATTGTAAAGTGACAAATATATGTCATGATAAGTTAAGTATACTTGATCCAACAGCAGCCGATCAAATTCATCGCAGGACATATTTGAGTCACACCAGCTTTTAACTTGCGAGAGCTCAGCTGCAATATTTTTCAAAAAGGTTTCATCGACATTCTTGTTTCCAAAAGCATGTTGCTGTAGTCTGCCTGAATATCTCCCTAAGTAAATCATTGAAAGTGCCGGCTTTTGCAACCATCCATCGCTACATGAGGTTCCATCTAATGGGGGGAATTCTCTATTGATTGATTCGTCTTGGATTTCACACTGTCTTCCGCTTTGCCAAGAGTACAATCTGTCCCAAGTATAAACCAACCAAAACATCCTTTTAGCTTTGATTTCTTCATACGCTTGGTCTCTGTTGGCATTGTTGTTGATCTCAATGTTGAGCAACATTCCTTTACACATTCTAATAGCAGATCCCAGTGAAGTATATGATGAAGTTTGACGGTGCGCTGCTCTTAAATAGAATGTTATCAAAACCCATGATTGAATTAATTCAAGGGACTGCCACTCAAAACTTAATTTCGACACGGTTTCATATGCTGAATGAAACAGATCTTCCTCCATTCCAGGTTTGAGTTCCACAGAAATCCTATTTGGTCTTTGTGGATGATTTTCTGAAAATCTAATGGCTATTGCAAATATCAAATAGAGGATAGCATTAAATAGCTTTGCAGCTTTTGTGTCTGCTGCAATTATCAGATCATTAACATACTTATGGTATTGGTCCATAAATACAGGCTGATGAATCATGCAAAATAGGGGATTTACCTTATGGAAGAAAAAGTTTAATAGCCAAGCACAGAGATCTGATTGCTTACTAGGATTCAAGATGAGGGGCTGCACTGCAAGTGGCATTTGATTAAGATAATGGCCTCCTGACATGTTCCATCCATAAAATTGTAGGCGAGGAATGGAAAGGCTTTCACGTTCACTAGGATGCAATTTGAAGAAAAGATACTGTCCTAACTTATTAGCTAGAATTGCATCGTGTCTTGTGACTCTTCCGGTTCTCTTTCCATCCAATGACAAAATGTTGCTCTCGATCGTTTTATTACTACTTTGTGCATTTGTTGGGAACTTATTCATTAAGCTATTCTCAAGATTTTGGACCCTGTTCTCCAAATAACGAATATATTCATCCTGAGTTGGTTTTCGGGGGCCGAAATTATGATTTAAGTGACTTTTTTTCGGTAAGTTGCTTCCTATTTCAGTAGAGTATTCGCAAAGCTGAGCACGACGTCTGCAGTGAGAACAAGGTTGTTCGCCATCACATTTAATTCTCCGAAACCTGCAGTACGTGCAAGCCCTCCTAACTCTCAATCTTTTGGATTCGCTCTCCTGGCCAACCATCTGTGTTATAGAAACTATCCTGCTAATATTCTATGCAAGTCAAATTAGTGATACACATACACAAGGGCCCAAAACTTTATCTTGCGAGCGGTCCGTCCGCGGAAAAAATGCGGATCGCTAATCGCGATGCACCGAAATCACATTTTTTCGGTCTAAAAAAATATTAAGATGATCCGTTCGACGGAATTCGCAAAACGTGGGCCCCAACTAGCGATTTTTAAGCCTTATATGCAGGATGGGCCATATAAAAGGCTCAAATTTCACACTTTATGATGTGACTAGAACTAAAAGCTAATCAAGAGGGTGAAATGAAAAAGTCTATGGAATTTGATGAGGATGAGTTCCCAGAGGGAGGATTTGGATGGTTTGTCGTCTTAGCGTCTTGGTGTGGAATGGCATGCACATTCGGTATGGTAAACAGTTTTGGAGTGTATCAGTCTTTCTACCAAACTGAGTTGTATTCTGGAGAAAAAACGTTCAAGATCAATATCATAGGTTCTTTACAACCTGCATGTATGTATTTTTTTTGCACTGCGACAGTCTATCTCCATCACTATTTTGGCGTTCAACTTACTGTTGCATTGGGTGCCTTCATACAAGTATTTTCATTGATGATGATGTCTATTACGAACAGTATATGGCAGTTGTTCCTTACGCAGGGGGTGTTGTTTGGATTTGGAAGTGGCATCATATATTTCTCTGCCTTAACGATCCCTATGCATTGGTTCAAAAGAAAAAAGGCTTTCGCAATTGGAATTGCCAGCTCTGGTTCCAGTATCGGTGGAGTAATTTGGCCAATTGCTGTTAGGAGGCTCATATCAGAGGTGGGAGTTAACTGGACCAACAGAATTTTGGGGTTCATTTATATCCCAGTGGCAGTAATACTGCTTCTCTTCTTAAGACCCAGGTTGCCTGTTAAGCTTCAAGAAACTGATTACTTCCTGTCCTTGTATCGCTTCCGATTTTATTATGATCTTACAATACTAAAAAGCCGGAAATATTTGATTCTGCTGTTTGCTTTTATTATCTCACAAATGGCACTGTTTCCTGGTCTGTTCCTTACTGATCTGTATGGCCAGCGTTTAGCACACAAATTACACAGATCCTTATTCGACCCAGCTTATTATGTCACTCTTTTGAATGCTGCCAGTTTGTTTGGCAGAATCTTGCCCGGCTTTTTAGCTGATGTGTTTGGTCGACTCAACGTTCTTATACCCTTCATGTTATTATCGGGTATTCTTCCTCTATCTCTTTGGCTCAATTCGTCTAGCTCTGACATCGTGTTTCTGATCTTTGATGTGACATGGGGATTTTCTTCGGGAGTTGTTATCTCCCTATTTCCAACTCTCGTCCCCCAGTTATTTGGTATTGAGAAAAATCAGAGCCGAATGGGAATACTTTTCACACTCGCTGGAATTGGAGCTCTCTTTGGGCCAATTATATGTGGTGCATTTCTACCTTTAGCAGGTAGTGTGGAGCAATACATCACGGATTTTAAGAGAGTTGCAATATTTATTGGCGTACTATTTTTGGTGGCTGGTGGATCATTGTGCTCACTCAGGCTATTGATCTCAAAGAGTCTCTTTCAAATCTTGTAGTCCTACTGCTATTAAAAAACTGAGAACTATTATATGTTAGGATCCGTTACAGTTAAAATGAACCTTCGAATATTAATTTTTATAAATGTTCCTCATGTATACACCAAACCGTCAAACAACAACCACACTTCCAGCCACGAAGGATTCATTCAACAAACAAATTTCTCATACCATAGATCTAAGTAATCGATTGTGAAAAAAACTATGTTTTAAAAAAATTAGTAGGTTGCATACAGCAGGGTTCGAACCTGCGTCCCATCACTGAGAATAGAACTTGAGTCTACCGCCTTAGACCACTCGGCCATGTATGCTTGATTACTCAATTTCGAACTGATAGATTCTCACGAGTGAATGTGAATAGCTTCTATTTCTATCCCTCTATATTTTTTAGCTAAGGTGCCATCTCGGTCGTCACATTTGCAACGTCATCTTTGTTTGAGTCAAATTCTCGATCTTGAAAACGATAGACCCATCTATTCTCTTTGTCTAGTATTTTGTTTTACTAATCACAGCTACATATCGTATATCGTAATACCAGTTACCTGCTGTCACAGTAGTTGTTATCAAGATACTGCCCCGCTAAACTGCAATTTGCAGAATATGTATAGTTCACCAAATTAGATAGATCTGTTTGAAAGATGGCGACATCAGATATTTAAGTAAGAATATTTAAAGAGAGACTTTTTTAAATTCTAGAAATAAATACTAAGCAGAAACTGGAGATAATATGATCTTTAATGTGAAAGCATCCATGAGAGTGAGATCAAATATGGTTCAAGGCTTCCTTTTCTAGTAGGCCCAATGAAGAACAAATGATTGCTCTTTCACAGCTATTTCTTTCGAGATTGGTGGACATATCAGATTCTGTATGCTGAAAAATTAAAATGGTCATTATGGCGTATGATTACTCACTAGATCTAGCATCACCTGCCGCCTATTTGAAGGTCACTCAACTAATTAGCAAACTTGACGACATGAACAGATGCTAAACACAGAGTCGTGGCAAAACACGCGATTTCATCTACTGCGCGTTGTGAACATTCTGATAGTGTAGGAAAAAAAACTGATCTTCGTTATAACCGCGACGTTTTATCGCATGCTCTGAACTGACCTGCAAATAGAAAGTATTTGAGATGCATGGACCGTGGTGGACCATGGATGGGATGAGAAACTGAATATGGGGGTGTCATTGTTGCCATACACTTAAACTAAAATAAAAAGGTGATAAGTTTATATGACCAGTAGTACAATTAGGCCCTGACACTGAATAGTAAATTTACTAGCAGTGTGTTTTTCAAAATTCGTTTCAGAATGATATCTCAACCTCATTTTCCTCGAAAGAGGATGGAGAAGACATTACTGTCTTATCTCATCAGCTCATAAGTTGGAACGTTTCACATGCTGAAGTATAAGATAAACCCAAATGAGGACAATGTTGAGCATAATGACTCTATTCATTAAAAAACTAGACTTGGACCTAAGTTTGAAGCTTAGCTAGAATTGAACAAGCAAGATCGTCCAGCATTATTCCAGGATTGAAATGGTTTTTCTCTTAATTAACTTTAAAATAGATACTTGGGGAAATGGGCTCCCTGGAAATGGTGAAATTACGTACCTTAACAAGTCAAGTCAAAGTGGGCACAATCTCCAAACTTGGTACCTAATATTACAGGCTCAAGAGAGAATGACAATCTTTATTTGACCAGTTAGTTGAATCAAAAGTATGTATGTGTTGAGATGAGTCGAGACTATGTCATGTGATTATATGCAAGATAATGCAGATAATACATGTATATATGCAGACTTGAGTATCTTGTATCAAGGTTGGGTGAGAAGTGCAGATTCTACTATAAGTCCGGGGTGTTGAGATATTAGTCTATAATATGTCACGTGACTATGCAGAGATATGCATCTCCTGCATAAATATTATGTGAAACAAAACCTAATCAGTTAGGATTAGAGATAAGTTTCAGAAAGCACACTGAAGATTTAGAGTGGTATTAGAATCTACTATAAATACAGTTAGATTCTCCCTCATCTTAAGTGAACATTCAATTGGTAAGATTTACATATAAATCTTATAAATATAAGCTTATACAACTACTGATATAAGGTAGTGAAAGGTATATTAAATTATCCAAAAGATGACAACTTCAGATCAGTTAAAGTTAGCATTCCAACACGGGGGCGTTTCTCACCTTGATACTCGAACAATTATCTGATCTGAAGTCTCAGCTAACACAAATTCACTTAGTATCATTAAGAAACATGTCCACCGAAGAGCAAGTTATGTTACAATTACAACAGGCATCTACGAAAAAATATATGGCACGCCTAGTAAATCAACTGCATACAAACTGATCCAGTTTCTGTTCTAGCTGGAGAGTCTATCTATTACACACAACAGACTAGCATTAAGGCTTTCATAATCTTTATTTATTCACTTCCTGCGAACTTTGTCTGACTAAAAATCCAAACTCTTGGCAAGAGAAAGCAATGTGAATAGTAATTGTTCACAAAAAGCAACTCGCCTGCAGAAAGTCTATTCTTCAGGGCGCCAGTTTGAAGCTTATTCACTTCTGTATTTATGGATAAATGCATGATTCAATGATAAGTCCGACGCAGTTTTTTTCGCGATAAACAATTAAACAGTCGGACAAATTAAAGCCCACAAGCCAGGTAATGATGTGCAAAAAACTCCTAATGTCAAATATGAGCTGATTGCATATCACCAGGCTCTGGAGTAGGAAGGATTGGGTAATGTGATTGGGTATAGTACCTTATTTGAAGGCGATGACTTTGTGTATGGGGTAGCTCTTAAAAATGCTGTTTTGAGCTGCAAGAAAATGCTGCCGATATAAGTAAGGGTTTGATTGCACACAGTTGAAATGCTGCTTTAAATTACTTGAACCTCAAATTGATACTCAAAGATTGGCTTGCAAGTTGTAAGTTTAGTACTGTACACTAAACAATATCAAACAAATTTGTTTGAAGTGGGGAGTTTAAATATTGGGACAGGCTATGAGAGATTGCTTCTTAGGACCAAGACAGACCAAGTGTAAGATTCCGATTTGAGAAGCACATGGCTCAAAAACCTGTATATATACAGAAGGCCCCTATATGTTGAGTTGGCAGATTCTGTTCTGTTCATAGGGTGAGAGCTTATTTTTTCCTTCTTCAGATATGATCACGAGCTTCCATATAGAACTTTAACATCAGTAACATAAGTTTTTACAAACAATTTAGCTCTTGTTCCTAGCTATAACCAAGGACCAGATTCATTTGATGCAGGTGAAGTGATTATCTGCACGAGAGTCCCCAAATGTAAATTTTCTAGTAATCTTGAGTTATAAAACCTCTGAACTGAGGCGTCGCAAGAGTTGCCATTGTCAATATTATGTACAGTAATAGCAAGAGGCCGAGTGTTTATTAACTTTCAGCTGCCAAGAATTTAACGAACATGAAATCGCCAGAAAAATAACTTCCAGAACCGGAATCGTTGAAATTGGCCTCATTCATAGTTTAACGTGATTAGCACTTTGTATTGCAGCTGCCTTTGAAGTTTAAAGCTAGACGAGAGGAATGGTGGAGGAATCCACTTAGCTAAAAAAAGAGACATTGAGATCTTTATGCCGCAGTCGATGCTCACTTACCAGTGGTCGAAGAAGTAAGCACGATAAATAGGGTGTATGAAAGCAGATGCCCACTTGTGTACGATATGCATGCTTTATGCGGTGAATAAAAATTATAATTCCCCTTATTGTTGGAATGCTAATTTTAACTGATCTGAAGTTGTCATCTTTTAGATAATTTAATATACCTTCTACCTTATATCAGTAGTTTGTGTAAACTTATATTTATAAGATTTATATGTAAATCTTACCAATTGAATGTTCACTTAAGATGAGGGAGAATCTAACTGTATTTATAGTAGATTCTAATACCACTCTAAATCTTTAGTGTGCTTTCTGAAACTTATCTTTAATCCTCACTGATTAGGATTTGTTTCACATATTATTTATGCAGGAGATGCATATCTCTGCATAGTCACGTGACATATTATAGACTAATATCTCAACACTTATGAAAACTAATGGAACGTGCTCCGACGATGCAACCAATGTCGACAAAATCACACAAGGAAAGCTTTGCTTATAAAGGGCATGTACACCTATTTCCGTATAAAGTATTAGAGATTTATTGGCAGGCCTGTGAATTGATTAATCAACAGACACATAATCCACAGTTGGTCCTCACACTCTTACGGAACAGCATTAACTGCAACCTTCATTTTATTGTTTTCCTAATCATCTGACTAAAAGTAACTGAAATCCAGTGGATAATAATAGAGTTGCCAACAAACTGTACCAAATCGCCTATCTAAAGCACTATTTTGGCCGATTGTTCTGTTGATCTGGAATACTTGAAGCTAGTCTAATAAGAGCAGGTGATCATATATCTGGTGAAGCTTCGAAAGGCACATGTACCTACTCCAAAATGAGTTTTGTTTACGGATGTTATCTTCATGACACAGGTATATGAGTCAGGATCATGAATCGTATCTAGAGGTATTTGTGAATGTCGATTCAATACATAAGTTTCCATTAGTTGATGTTACCAAAATAGTTTACGATTTTTGATTGACAGGTGACCGGGTTTTCTTATTCACAATATAGCCAGCTTGATATCTCGTGTGGCATCATATATCCCACTTTTTCTGTCATTAGCACCTATGATAAAACATTATGAGCTCTAAAATTGTCAACTGTGGGGAGGACAAACCTCAAGCATTACAAATCATCGAACCTCATTGAAACGTCAAAACCGCGAATAGATTATTTAAAACTTTCAAAGCCAGACCGCTACACTATTTAGTCCACATCCCAATATAGTAGACTTAGGGGAAGCTATTACGCATGGTGAAACAATGGAAGTTTCATGGAGTAACCTGGTAACCAGCATCCAAAAGCCCCTGCTCACAAAATCGAACTGAAAAATAAATCAGAAGCTAGC